GTACACACATGCAGAGCAATGTCCATGAGTGCAAAGCACACACATGCACATACACGTCCAGTGTACACACAGCATATGCTCACACACATGCATACACATGCACACAATGCAACACATGTACATGTGTGCAAAGCACACATGTGCACGCTCATGTGTACACACTCCCCACAGAGTTCTGACTGGAAATGCTCAGGCAGGAGCAGCATTGGAAGGAGGCCCCTGGTGGGTGTGGAGACGGGGCATAACCCACACTAGCCCAGGACACCATCAGCTCCTCTACCCCAGGCTATTGCCCTCGGAAGAGCAGTGGCCCCCTCCCTGTGGGATCCCTCACGTCCTCCTCCTCCCCTCTGTCTGAGACCCACCAGCCCACCCTTATATCCCTGGGGTCTCTTCCCTTTCCTCTCACTTGGAGCCATGCGCTGTCCCCCTGCCCAGACATCCATGTCCACACTGCTCACCACCCCACCAGTGGTGAGAGCTTACCTAGGATCTTCCTTTTGCAAGAAAGAAGAGAAGGGATAAATACTTATTTTTCCTTCTCAGGGACAGTAATAATGGTCATTTTCTTTTCCTTTTCTTCTTAAACGTCTCATTATGGAAATGTTCAAACACCTGCAAAGTAGAACAGAATGAGCCCCAATGCCATCATCTCTGGGCTGTCTCCTTTGATCTGATCCCCGCCCGCCCTCCTACGTCCCACGCTGATTCCTTTGAGGCAAACATCGGATGACATCTGGGCAATGGATTCTGAAACGTGAGTGTGAAGGAGACGGGGCGTGTGGCTGCTAAGTCTGCTCAGAAGTCGTAGCCTTCGGGGAACCGATCACTATTTTGAAATGTCAGGACACGTGGACAGGGAAGAACTTAGTCGAAGTTTTGCTGTGACGAGGGCGTGTCTTCAGGAAGAGGCTTGTGCGGCATCATCCTCAGCTTCTCATGAGGTGGCGTTGGTCACGCGGTTCTTGGTTATTCCATAAAATCTTAGGGTCTTGTGATGTGTTGGTTGTTTTTTCATGTGTGTGACTAAGCCTAGCAAGCCAGGCCCCTGGGACGCCGATTTACAGGCTGTGTCCTCTCAGTGACAGCGCCCAGCTCCCATTTCCTCCATCCTGCAGTAAGAGCTGTTAACATCACAGAGCTCACTGCATGCAGCGGCAGAGGGAGCGGCTCCCCTCCCACCTCTCGGGCTCTCCTCGCCTGTGTTCTGCACCAGAGAGTGAGCTACGGGGCGGCCTGGCCTTGTCCTCTCATTCCCTCAGCCGCTGGCACAGTGCCTCTTAGGCAGTAGGTGCTTAACAGATGTTCAGCTAAACTCCTTTCAAGCTACATAAAATACCCGTATTTGGCTTCGTGGAACTGCATGAGCGATTATAGATGTTCAACTAAACTCCTTTCAAGCTACATAAAGTACCCGTATTTGTCTTCGTGAAACTGCAGGAGCGATTTGGCTCGTGCTGGTTGAGTGAGAAAAAGCAGCTCCCGGGCCCTCTGGTGATCAGCTTCAGCCTTGGGCGTGTCTGTGCCTCCCTCTCCCGCCTGCCCCCACACCTATGAGACCGTAGGTCATGCTTGGCCAGGCCTGGCAGGGAATTTCTGAATCTACTTTACATTCTTTTGAAAAAATGATCTGGTGTGGAGTTAGCTGTCGAGGGAAGCCAGGAGGTTTGTGTGCAATGCTGGAGGGATCGGGAGGGCTGGGCAGTCCCAGGGTGATGTGGGGCCCTGAGTCCCAGGCCCTGAGCCCATGGGCACGAGGGGCAGGTCAACTGGGAGCAGTTGTATTGCACCAGATCCTGCGACTCTTAGATGCCAACGTGTCCTCGTGCCCTGTTTAATTCCTCCTCCATCAGAGCCTCCTGAGTAGCTGAGACCACAGGCATGCTACCACCACACCTGGTTAATTTTTGTATTTTTGTTTTGTGGAGATGGGATCTTGCTATGTTGCCCAGGCTGGCCTCAAACTCCTGGCCTCAAGTGATCCTCCCACCTTGGCCACCCAAAGTGTTGGGATTGCAGGTGAGAGCCACCACCCCAGGCCCTGATATTTTTTGATATTGACTAAATACTGAAAGGATAAAAAGCTCCTACTGAGTTGACCACGAGGCTGTCTCCTTCACTGTCCAGAGAGGAGTGCTGGGGCCTGCAATGCTCAGAGGCAGTGGATGAGAATGTGGACAGTCACTTTCCCTGTGCTTGACTTCTCACACAACCATCTCATACCTCAGAGCTGTGGGCTCGTGGTCTATGGAGGGGCCACGTGCTCAGGGTAGAGCTATGGGCTCGTGGTCTATGGAGGGGCCACATCCTCAGGACAGAGCTGTGTGCACGTGGTCTATGGAGGGGCCACATCCTCAGGACAGAGATGGGTGTATGTGGTCTATGGAGGGGCCACGTCCTCAGGACAGAGCTGTGTGCACGTGGTCTATGGAGGGACCACATCCTCAGGGCAGAGCTGTGTGCTTGTGGTCCTCTCCCTACCACTCTGTTCTCCAGCCCCCTGATTCCACACGGCATCCCCTTCCCATCACTCCATACCAAGCCCAAATGTTCCATCCATGAAGATTCATGAGGTCGTTTCCTTTGGAGCATGAGGCACATTCTCCTGTGGTCCTGACCTCTGAGCAGTGGGAACACCTTTCCATGTGGAGGTTCTCAGCGACCTCGGTTTTGGGTTTCGTCAAGCAATGTGTAACCCTCACAGGCCAGCGGATGGAGGCTGCTCTGGGGTCCTCTGTGTTTGTGCTGTTGATTGTCCTTGGTCTCCTCCCAGCTTTGTCTCTGTTGATTAAAGGCTTTCTTTTGGGAAAGCTGGCCCTCTAAGGGCAGTGGCTTCCTGAAACCCTCCAGGGAGAGTGCATTTCTGTCATCGAGTTTAACTCAACTAACGGAACCAGATTTAATAGATTCAAAGCGGATGAAGGTGTGTCAGTCACAGAGCATAAGGACCACTGCTGTGGCCACTTTGTCCTTTAACCCCGTGCACACCTATCAGATTTTGAGAATCAGAGTGGATGGCGGTTACTTTCTGTGGGAACATGCACTTAGCTGAAACCCCTTACTAAGATGATCTGTCATCAACTTCAGGTTTCATGCTTTAAAAATATTCTCAACAAGAGAGAAAAATAACATAGGAGACTTGACTGTCTGGGGTGAGGGCAGGCTTGAGGAAAGACTGGGCAGATGTGTGGAGCCGTTATGTTTGGAGGGGTTACCAAGAAGCAGACCCCCCATTGCCAAGAATGAGGGCCTTTTCAGGCAGGAGGGGCTCCTCTGTGAGTGACAGCGAGGACCAACCCCAGGAGCCACTTCTGGGGCCCACGAAGAGATGAGGCTGGAGACCTTTCTGTCCCTGGGCCATGAAACCATCCCTCCTGACATTCTGATTCTCCATGCTCAGTGGCTCTGGCCAGGGACCACTGACCCACCTTGCAACTCTGACACCTTTGAGGTTCGTCTTGAACCCTCTTTACACCTGCAGTTCTTTTTCATTCTCTGCCCATAACCCTGACCCCTTGGTTTACCATCTATGGGGTAATTTATCATAAGGCCCAAGAAATGAGATGCTCTTTAGGGGGCTGACATCCCACCCGGAGGAACAGCCCACACCTGCGGATGAGGGGGAGGCATCAGAATCTCCTGGGGTGTTTTCAGAGCCCCCCCACCTCCACCTCTGCCTCCACCTGAGGCCCCCCACATCCTCCCTTGAGTGGAGAATCACTGTGGTTAACGTGAAGCACACAGACAAAAAAAAAAAAAAAAATGCAGGCACCCACAGCTTGGCCTGAGGGCGGTAGGGTGGGACTGGAGACACGAGGTGGACAGAGCAACACCTCCAAATGCAGGCCCACGGCCTGGCCTGAAGGGCGGTAGGGTGGGACTGGAGACGGGGTGGGTGAGAGCAATACCTCCAAACAAGACGTCTTATCCCAGCCCCTCCGGCTGCAGAGTTGGAGCCCTGTGCTCAGCATGGCTGTAATTTTAGTCTATTTTCTGGGTGACAGTGAGAAATTAAAGTCTCTTCAGCCAGCACAGGGATGTCCCTTTCTGGGCCTGCCGTGCCCACAGTTAAGTCCCTGGAAAGCAGCAAAATGTGTCACGGAGAAAACACTCTACTGGATTCTGGGGCGCTCAGTCCACACAGACTGACGTGGAGCTGCGGTGCGAACCCCTGAGATGTTTAGGAATCCCTTCCACCGCAGTTCCCACCTGGCTTAGTATTCTACAGGAAATTACCAGCCACACCCATGCTCCGTGTGTTATGGCAAATCTGGGAGAGGACTCAGAACATCTCAGATTTCATAACCCTTCAACCCCTCAAGCCTCCATTGGCAGCCCTGGGAAGTAGGAGGCTAAGGCTGCGTTCACACACTGGTGAGAAAACCAAGGCGCAAAGTCATGCAGGCAGTGATTAGTTCATTTTATGCAGTTAATGAGAAGCGAGCGAGCTTAAGGCTTGAAGGCAGCTCTTTTCACTTCCGGCCCTGTGCTATTAGAACAAGTTCATTCACAGTAAATCTGTAAGGCTAATGTCGGGCTAGTAACTGCTGCTCAGGCAGAGGCCACTAATTGATGTAACTGTTATAAAAAGGAAAAGGTTTTGTTTGTTTGTTTTGAAATGGAGTCTCACTCTGTCACCAGGCTGGAGTGCAGAGGCCGGATCTCGGCTCACTGCAACCTCCGCCTCCTGGGTTCAAATGATTCCCCTGCCTCAGCCTCGAGTAGCTGGGATTACAGGTGCATGCCACCGCGCCGGGCTAATTTTTTGTATTTTAGTATAGATTGGTTTCACCATGTTGGTCAGGCTGGTCTTGATCTCCTGACCTCGTGATCTGCCTGCCTCTACCTCCCAAAGTGCTGGCACTCCAGGCATGAGCCACCATGCCCAGCCAGGAAAAGGTTTTAGAGCCAATTGTGTCCCTTCTTTGGGGTGGGTGGACACGTTATATAGTCTTGAGACCCCCAGAACTTTGCTTGATGAAAAACGCCCAACAACCCAGGAAAGAACAATTTTACTTAATATTTTTATTCACTTAACAGAAACATTCACTTATCAGATATCACTGAAGTGCAATTTACAGAACTTAAAGGCAAATTAACATATGTAAATTCATATTTTAAGGTTTTGGATTTTTTTTTACAAATATTACAAATGTACATCCATTGATACAATATTGCCATTCAATCATGCTTTTATTATGTACATACCTTCAATTAGAATTACTATGTATTAAGTTCATTTTGCTTACAAAATGCTGAAAACTAACAGGGTGCGCTGGGAGAGATTTTTTTTACCGATGCATAAACTGCAGAGAGAAATCTCGGGCCTGTGTGAAAAGAGGCCCTGGGACCCAGGTGATCTTGCCTTGGTGTTTAGGGGTTGCTCATCCCTCCAGCCTCGGCTTTAGGATGATGAGTTGGGAAATAAAGTGTTCCTCTCACCAGGGTTCGATCTGCCTATGGTTCCCGCAGGGGCGATATTGTTTCGTGCGCATCTCTAGAGGTCGGCACGGTGGCTCATGCCTGTAATCCCAGCACTCTGGGAGGCCAAGGTGGGCAGATCGCTTGAGGCCAGGAGTTTGAGACCAGCCTGGGCAACATGGCGAGACCCCATCTCTACCAAAAATACAAAATTAGCCAGTCTCATAAGCCGGTCTCAAAAAAGTAAACAGATGTCTAGAGATGTGGCCACTAGTGTTCCTTCTGGTGGGAGGTCAGATCACGTGGACACATTTAGGAGAGTCCAAAAATGACTACAGTGACTCCCTGTGCACAAGGCGTCAGGAACCCAGCAGGGCTTCCCTAGCCTTGAGCATGAACCTGCTGCCTAGGAACCCAGCGAGGCTCCCCCAGCCCCAGCATGAACCTGCCACATAGGAACCCAACGGGGCTCCCCCAGCCCCAGCATGAACCTGCCACATAGGAACCCAGCGAGGCTCCCCCAGCCCCAGCATGAACCTGCCACATAGGAACCCAACGGGGCTCCCCCAGCCCCAGCATGAACCTGCTGCGTGGATCCCTTGGTGGGGATGGTGCCTAAGACGACCTCCTCCTGGGTGGGGGCCATGGCAGCAGAACAAAGGAGCCAGGAGCTTTGGGACAGGGACTAACAAGACAGCAAGAAAGGGAAGAGGCAGGGAGAAGAGAAAGGGGCAAGAAGGGAAGTGAAGTGGCTGAGGGGAGAGTGAGCGGAAGGTGGTGCCAGCCGCCTCTCAGGCTTCCCTGAAACGGCCTGAGAAGGAAGCTCCCTCTGTCTTCACCACATCTTTGGTCCCCTGTGGCCTCTGCTCCTGCCTCCTCACTTCCCCACCATCCTTCCTTCACTTTCTCAGATTCAAAATTTGGGAGAAGTTTGACAGGAGCCACCAGCAGCCCAGCGTTGCCAGAAACAGCCCTGCTCATGCAGTGGTGAGGCCCGTGCCGTGTCCTGCAGCCGCCTGCCTAGCCCCACACGGTGGCAAAATACCAAAAGACCCTAAAATACCAGCGAGACGGGATTGGTCTGTCCCTGCTAAGAGCTGCCTGGGGGTGCTACGGCCTCGCCTGCAACACAGAGCTTCTAAATTTCCACCTCCAACCGCGAGCTCTGCAAAAACCGCAGGCGAGGACAGGCTTTGGGGGGGTGTGGGACGGCGGCCTCCTGATGTGGACGAGGGGCCTCTGCAGCCTCCCTGAGGGCCGCGGGAAGCCCACAGAGCCTCGCCGGGTTTTGTCGGGCGTTACAAGAGGCGGCCTCAGCGATCCAACAGCAGTACATAAAAAGAAAGGCTCTCAGCTTCCCTTTGGTCTCCGTTAGAAATTGATACTTACTGTATTTTGGGCCAAGTAGTCAGATTATTTTATTAGAATGGCTTCTTATAAAAGGGCATATAAGTTTCCCTAAATTAAAAATGTCTACTTTATGTACGTCTCAAATGTCTTTGTTTTAAACAATATACTATAGACACATCTTGAAATTTATCATCTAAAAATAGGATTTCATCAAAATACTCTAACTATTCTGGGCATTGATATCCTCTGTATTTACTGTTTATGGCTCTCCAGATGTGGTAAACACTATATCAAAAAAAAGCATGTGACTTTGTTGATAAGAAAAGCTCCCTGTGAAAACAAAATGAGGTGGAGAAATATGAACTGTGTGTTTCTTTGAAAAGTGGAGAAATAGGAGCTGTGTGTTTCTTTGACAAGGAACCCAGCTTGACATTTCTGAGGAACAGGCCTCATCACAAAATCAGCATGGTGTGATAGATATATACAGATGTAAAGAGAATCGCAGGAATGGAAAGGAAACAATAGCTATCGACCCGCACATCCTTTCCTCGGCAAAAACAAAACCAATGGAAACCCTAACTCCATCCATCCCTTGACATCACACACGGCTGCGAAACCGAGACTGGAGGTGGACGGCAGAGTCTGCTGGTGTGCAGCTGTTCCCTGCCGCTCAGTCCTGCAAAATTCCGGAAACCACCACATACTGACTTTTTGACTAAGAACCAGGCAGGAAACCACATTGCTGATCTTCCCGATGGGAAAGCAGTATGTGTTTTGGAGGCAGATAAAGGTGGCGTTGGTTTTATGAGGACTTTTGTAGGGGGCCTAAGCAGGCATGAATATAGACCACAGAAAATCTGAAGCAAGGGGCTCGGTGGTGTCAGGTGGTGGGAAGTGTGGGGGAGCCAGGCCGTGATTTTGAAGTGGACTCGGAGGGGCCGGCCTGACTTCATCAGCCCCCATTGTGTTGTGCCCAGTGTATTTTCAGGGTGACAGAAAGTGACCCGTCCCCTACTTGTGTCTTGCCCCCTCACTTGGAGGGGGGTGCGTGGCCACTCTTTTTTTTTTTTTTTTTTTTGAGACGGAGTCTCGCTCTGTCGCCCAAGCTGGAGTGCAGTGGCCGGATCTCAGCTCACTGCAAGCTCCGCCGCCCGAGTTTACACCATTCTCCTGCCTCAGCCTCCCGAGTAGCTGGGACTACAGGCGCCTGCCACCTCGCCCGGCTAGTTTTTTTGTATTTTTTAGTAGAGACGGGGTTTCACCGTGTTAGCCAGGATGGTCTTGATCTCCTGACCTCGTGATCCGCCCGTCTCGGCCTCCCAAAGTGCTGGGATTACAGGCTTGAGCCACCGCGCCCGGCCGTGGCCACTCTTAAGACCAATTCAGTGGTCAAAACTGCAGGGCAGACCTGGCCTAAGAGTGGTGCTGGGATGTTCTGACCTGGACCCAAGGGCAAAATCCTCAGGCATCAACACCAGCCTTTCTATCTCTGCAGAGGTGGCACAGCCCCTCCAGGCCCATCTGGGGCTGTAGGAATTCTGGGACCTGGGTCTTCCAGGCACACCTGGGGCTGTAGGAATCCTGGGACCCAGCTTTTCCAGAAACTCTTGGGGCTGTGGGAATCCTGGGACCTGGCCCCTCCAAGCATAGCTGCGGCTGTGGGAATCCTGGGACCGGGGTCTTCCAGGCACTCCCGGGGCTGTGGAATCCTCAGGCCCTGCCAGTTGGGAGCAACCTGTGTGTGGCGTGATCTGGTGTGGCATGCTTCCCGCATGTGGGGTCACCCCTGACTGCCTCGACTTCCTTCTCCTTTCACTACCCAGGGCCTGGGACCCTCCTCTCCTTACAAGGGGTCCCCACTGCAGCCCACATCTCCTCTGACAGATCCCTCCATGGAAAAGCTCCAGCACCTCAAACTCACTTCTGGCTGCTTTGGAAACTTTTCTCTTGCTATCAACCTTCTCTGAAGAGCTTTAATCTCTCCTTCCATGGAGTCTCCTGTGGACTTAATAAACGAATCCACACACTTGTACTAGTGGGTAGCGTGGAATTAATGTGTGGCTTTCTCCAATGTAGATGTCGATATTTCAGTAAAGTCTGAGTTGTTTCTGGAAGGTCAGTGCCTGAGACACCACGAATCCCAACCCCACAGGTGCGGCTTCATGGTGCTGGTCACTGGGTGGCTGAGCGCTTTCCGAGTCCTGTGAATCAGACCCTGCAGAAACAGTGTGATTTGGAGCCCACTGGGGGAAAGCATCATATGCTTCTCTAGCCAACATCTCAGATGAAGGTGATTTGAGGCCTGGGTCAGAGACTTTAGCCAGGAGCTGGCCGTGCTCCCACACGTTCAGGGGAGTGCTCGCTTCTGACGGCTGCGAACGTCTGAGTCTCCCATTGCCTCTTGACTCAGTTCTCTAAGCTTCATCTTAGTGATGTCAAGTTACCAGAACTTAATAGAAACTGGTCGTTTGAGCTTAGCTTTTGCACTGAATTAAGATTTCATTTATTTTTGTGATTTTTATAAAATATTAGTATGAGTCCTTTATTTGAAAAAATGTTCTCATATCTTTTGAAACTTTATCTTGAAGTTGCCTACTCCAGTGCCTGTTTTCTTTTCTAAAAAACTCGACTGATAAATTTGGCCTTATTTTAAATCCCAGGAAAAGTTTCTATTTCCATACTAATATCCCTACTTCTTATTATCTTGTAACAAATAGCTACAACTCAGTTTCATTTCTGCCTTCTCATTATGATAACTGTAATTTATAGCACTCGACTATGTACAGCACGATGTTATTCTTGCACTTTCTGGGGTGGTCAGCTGGGATTATTTCCAGGAAGCCCACACTCCAGAGGTGGACACCAGCATCCAGAGGTGGACACCAGCATCCGGAGGTGGACACCAGCATCCGGAGGTGGACACCACCATGCTTTGCCATCTGCCATCACCGTCATGAATTTCAGAGATGGATTTTTTAAATTGGAGAAATGAGAGACTGGCTACCTAGCATGATGAATGTTAGAAATAAGTTATCGGTGATGAGATGGACAGCAACTCGAGGCACATGGATTACGTAAAGATACTTGGAAAAGAGCCTGACCCCTGTATGAATACAGCGCCTCGGTTCTCAGGGATGACGCTGTGGGCTAAAGCCCCTGTGTCCCATCTCCACTGTGAGCTGAAGGTCTCTCATGTTGGAAGCCTTCTCTGAGGGTCACAGAATCCTGCCTCTTACATTTTTTGACAGCTGAACTTTTTTGGGGTCTTGTCCTGCAAGCTGTTGATTGGAGAATCTGAAAGAGCGGAGAGCTGGTAGCCTCTCAAGCTGAAGGTAAAGGTTGTTTTGAATTTTATTTTATGCTTGCTTTCTAATGAAAATTTAGTTAAAAAGTCAGACTTTGATTAAAGACTTCATCTCCTTATTACCTGGTAGGGAGGTTATAGGGTGGTAGCTAACCCTTACACAACACAGACCTCAGTGGCTCTCAGTATCGGCCACAATAAACCAAACATGGTGATGGACTGAACAGGCGTGCGTGGCTTTGCAGCGTGCGTGGGCTGGGTGTTTCCAGGCTCCCCACCTCTGCAGCGCGCCTGGGCTGGGTGTTTCCAGGCTCCCTACCTCTGTAGCGCGAGTGGGCCAGGTGTTTCCAGGCTCCCCACCTCTACAGCGCGAGTGGGCCAGGTGTTTCCAGGCTCCCCACATCACAGGTCTTAACTCTGCCTCACGGGGGCTTTGGGACCTCTTCCTTCACTTTGCGGGAATGGCTTTTGTTTCTCTGGTTCTATTTTAGGTGTTCGGTAATGTCGTGCATCTTAAAATATTTTTTGAAAGGAGGTGGAGTATAAAAACCGAAATGAATAATGAAAATAATAGAGGATTCTTATTGGTTTCTCTGGGGCTGGGGTGGGCATGGCTTTTCTCTTCGCTTGTGGCTTATCTTCATGTGCCCCCTAAAGCTGTGCTTGTTAGACCCCAACGTCGCCGAGAGGCGCACGCAGGGGTGGGGTGCAGGGACAGGGCCTGAGGCTCACTCCTGCCTGGCGATGCGTCGGTGCCGCCTTCCAAGGCCGCAGCTAAGCCCCCTTGCCTGAATGGAGCCCTTCCCTCGGATGCCACAGGAAGAGTTGGTGCTAACTCAACAGCACGTGTGCCCCTGGGTGTGGGGGACATGGTTCTGGGGCCAGCGATCTGGGAAGAGGCATGTTCTGAATTCCAGTCTGGTTGCTTGTCCAAACATTGCACACGCGCGTGTTTCTGGAACACCAAAGGAAAACGAATGCAGGGAACCGGCCAACCCGCTGCGTCGCCCCCCAGACACGGCCCAGTCCCTCCAACGTCCCGCTCAGCTCCAGCAGCCAGGAGCCTGCAGCCTAGAGAGTCAGTAGAAACTGCTGCTGCTCTGGCGGTTTCCTCACCCAGGTGCCCAGGCCAGCCTTCTGAAAGGCCTTGAACAGCTGCTGTTTCACAGACTGGTAGGTGTGCGCCCCCAGCTTGGCCTCACAGTACATGGAGGGTGTGTCTCCGGGGCTGGGTGTCCGTGTGCTCAGCTGCAGACAAGAAGGAGAAAGAGCCAATCAGACACCAGCAGAAAAGGAGCTTCCACCAAGTGAGTTTTACACGCCAGGCATCAGCTCCTGGCCTTGGCCTTTTGCCTTTCTTTCTCCCACTATTACAGAGAGCAACCGTGACCAGGTCCTCCGGCTATTCCACAGGAAACCCAGTCATCGAGGAAACCCGCTTCATTCGACGTCTGAACGATCAGTGAGTGGGTAAACTTGACTGCTATTAAAAATATGAACACTGTGCAGGGGCTCCAGGTGGGGTGGGGGACGGAGGGGGACGGTGGGAGCTCAAACAGCATCACAGTGGGCAGGGAGCAGGCCGGTAAGAGTCACGCTGTTGGCCGAGCAGGAGGATGATGGAGCTGGGGCGATTCCTCTGTTAGCTTTCTGAGGTGTGCCAGGCAAAGCTTAGCAGCAATACAAGACAGGGATCAAATGCAGCTCTGATCCCCCCACCACAGGGCAGGGAGGCCAGGAGGGAGGAGGACCGGGCTGTGGGGGAGCTCTGAATCCCACAGCGGGTCTTCCAGGGAGGCACTTATGGGGGGGGGTCACCTCCAGCACGTGCAAGAGGAGCGCGCCCTTTTGTTCAGCAGGACGGCATAGATGCTTCCCTGACCTTCCCAGTCTCCAGGAGAAGGGAGACCCGGGCAGTGCCACTGAGCGGACAGGACAGAGACTGAGAGCTGCAGGATACTGGGCGCCTTGGCCAAGCTCAGAACTAATATGTGCAATTCTGAGTGTCCTCTAAGCTGGCGAAAACGTTTATTTTAGGTGTCAGTATGCCTACCCTGCTCTACCAGTTGACAAATCGACAACACTATTATTCCGGCTTGGAGTCATTGCTTGGATTAAAAAGTACGGAAAAATGAGCGAGGCATTTTTTATGTGTTTTTCTGTTATTGGTTGTTTTTGGTCACAGTCTATGCTGCAAACGCATACCAATGTGGATTTTGATTTAAAATCCAGAACTGTTGCCGTTATCCTTGCCTGTGAAGGAGAAAGCTTGCTCCTAATCGCTGATGTCGTGGAAATGCTTGGGCTTTGGGGTTGGGGAGAAATTCTAATCCTGAGATTCATTTCCTGTGAAATTTTGGGGAAATTACACATTTTTTCTGAGTGTCAGTTTCCTGATATCTAAACCGGGAATAGTGTCGACTTCGAAAGTCCCCAGGAGCTGCTCCTGTGACACCCGGAGTGAAGCAGGCGGTGCCGTGCCCGGTGACGTCAGGGGTTCAGCAATGAGCTCGTTTCCTGCTTCCGCAGCTCCAGGCTGGTCTGGGGGCGGTGCCTGGGGCAGCGGGGTCTCTAGCCTACCGGGGAAACGCTGCTGGCCTGGGCAGTGGGAAGAGGACACTTGAGGGGCGCTGGGTTTTGTGTCCTGCCTCTCGCTCCCTGCAGACCAAGTGGTGGCCTCTCCCGGGGGCTTGCTCAGGGCTGGAGCCAGGGTCTGGCTGGGCCCCGTTTCCCTCCAAGGATGGGTGCGACCTACCCTGCCGTACAGCCGCGCCCACCGCGCAGACAGCACGTGCTTGCAGAGCCGGGAGGGGCCCCCGCAGCTCCTCCGCCCCGTGGTGGTGTTGATAATCTCCAGGTCCACGCTGCCCACGACCCAGTTCACGCTGAAGGGGGGCGACTTCCCCGGCTGGCGCGCCTCGGCGTCACTCACGCCTGTCAGGGGAGATGGGCAAAGGCGGCGTTAACATTCCTGGCCCCACACGGGGCTCCCCCCAGGGCAGCTGCGGGGAAACGGAGCCTGTGTGCGAGCGGGAGGAGATATTCCCACGCACACCCTCCTCCCTTTTCATCCTCAGGACTGGCGGAGGCTGCAAATCGGGCAGGACCGTGGTGGCCGCCTCAGGTCCACGGCATTGCTGCGCCTGCATCAACCTTCTAATCGAAAAGATTTTAATAGTCTGGTGATAATAAAGCTCCTCCAGACTCCCTCCCTTTCTATAAATATTTGTGGAGTGAATGAATGAGCAGAGCCACGTGGAAGTGATCTGAGAGCGTGTTTCTGGGCACCTCTGTAGGCCCAGCTCTCCTGGAGGCTAAACACTGGGGCTTGTAAGCAGCAGGCAGCTCCCTGGCACCCTCGGGCTTACAGTTTAGCTGATGAGAAAAACAAAACAAAACAACGATAAAAACAAGACAGAAACGAGTGTAGGATCAGTTGATCTGCAATGTGATCCCGAAACAGCACTGGCTACAGAGTGTTTGAGACTCAGTGCAAAGTGGAAATATGGGGCCTTTTGTTAGAAAGTTGCGAAGAATTTCTAGAGGACAGTGGAGCATTAAACCAAGTGCGGGTTTGTCTGAGCTCAGGTGCCTGTGTGAGCTGCAGGGCTGTACGCCTACAATGCTGGTCCTGTCCAGAGAGAGCCGGCGTCTTCAGGGAAGTCCTGGTTTCAAATGTGTTGCCCCTTGTGTGCTTGGATTTTAACCTGGACCACACAGTCCTTGCAGCCCAGCTCACCCTGCAGAGGGGTGTTGAGGAGGTCTCCACTCTGGGGTGGCAGCTGCTTTGCAGCTGGGGGTGGGGCACTTTCTGGCTTCCAACTGTGGCCCCAGCCCTAACTCCTTGAGGTGCTCCTGTGCTGATTAGGGCTTCTGGAGATGCTGCCACGAGATGTCTGGAAACCCCAGGGGGCATCTACCGAGACCCTGCCCTGTGACGGCCTGAGGATTCCATCACATGAGATTCAGGTGCAGCTGAGCCCCCCCCCTCCCCAGTTCATTGTCTCTTTCAGTCCCTTCTGAAGGCTGCATTTGGCAATGTGACCCTCGGAGTGGGGAAGGCATCAGAGGAATACAGGCTGCAGGAGGCCAGAGGCAGCACCCCAGAGACATAGTCCGATGCTTCCCACACCCAGGGCTTCCTCATGGCCCCGGCATGGTAGACGTGGCCCTCAGACATCCACGGGCAGTGCGGGGAGGTATGTGCTGTTTGGCCCTGTCTCTGCTCAGTCTCACAGGAAGACGCGTGGTTCACACAAAAGTGAGTCGGCAGGGAGTCCAGGCTCCTGCTCACAGCAGTGGCGTTGAGAGTCTTGGTTTATAACCCAGGATCCCTTGCTCCATTCATTCCTCCTGAATCTCCCACCTCCCGTGGCACCTGCAGGACCTCCTACCCGATGCGTTCCCCAAGCCCAGCTGCCTGGGCATCTCCTTCTCATTCATGTCTCCTCGCAGTTCAGCTCTGCCTCTCCAGCCCTGCCTGCCTTCCTGGCCTGCGGTCCTGTGGTGCTCGGAGGGGAGCGGGGCCCCTGAGCTCTCGGGGGCCCATCATGTATCACGCAAGACAGCAGTGCCTGCAGAGAAGAACTTGGCGTCTTGGCCAGGGTATTGCATCCAGGCCACCCAAGTGCCTCCTCAGGTCCCCCGGTAGAGAGGCCCAGGTGTCAGGATTCGTCTGAGAGCAAAGACCTGGTGGGCTGAGCATGGTGCGAGTGGGTTCCGGCCATAGCAGACTCCCGGGAGGAAGCTGTCCCCATGTCATGTGGCAGCACAGCTCATGACACCTTCCTGGAACCTGGCTTCATTTAAATTCAGGGGAAGACCCACTCACTACTGAGCTGCACAGCCACAGACCCCAGATCCTCTGCTGCTCTCAGCTTCATCCACAAACCTGAGCTCTGTGGACAGACCGAGCAGACGTCCCACCCCACCCACCTCGAAAGTGACCTGGTGAGCTTCTGCCGGCCTTGGATGGGCAGTGTGGGACACCAAGTGAATCCCGTTCACGTCAGCTCTTCCTTTTTCCTTCAAGTGATCCATGGTGACAGCTGCCACTGAGAGCCAGGAGGGACAATCTGGCCTGTTGGCCGCTGTGGCCGTCCTACTGGGCAGGGGCCGCCTGGGCAGGAGGAGCCAGCTGCCAAGGTCAGGGATGACCAGGAACTGGGAGAGGCAGTCACTGCCCTGATCTGTGTGCGCTGGGTGGCCTCCCCTCCCCTTCCCGCTCCCGTCATCAGGCGGCCTCCCCTCCCCCTCCCGCTCGCATCACCAGGTGGTCTCCCCTCCTTCTCCTGCTCCCATCCCTCTGGTCTCCATGACTGTCAGGATCAACCACTGAGGCGCTGAGCTGCAAAGTCTGAACTCAGAGGAAAGCCTTGGGAGCCTGAGGTCTGCACACGACCTCCTGGTTCCTTGTCAGGACACCCTGGCTCTGGTCTGGGCCCATCTCCCTTCTCTTTGTGGAGGACAGCGTGGGCAAATTGTTGCTGGTCCTTGGCTGGCTGCCATCTGATGGGGCTTCCTCCCAACACTCCCGTCTGCCAGCCATGATGAGGCCCGAACACTTCTGGGAAGGCAACTGTGAGGACGTGGGTGTGAACCCAGCATGTGCACTGCTCCACACGCGGTGGGAGGAAGGAAGGAGCTGGCGGGTGGGCCACGGGGTCCAACCTTGCACGGGGGCTTCTCCTTGCCAGGGTGTGGTCCCATGTGTCCGAGTGTGCACAGGGAGGACGGCACCTGCTGTAAATAACATCTCAGCTCACCTGTGATGACGAAAATCACACTGCAAATCATCCAGTTCTAACTACAACAGCCCCACAGACTACTATTTAACATAGAAAGTGCCGTAAACCCAGGAGCAATCTTCAATATCCAAGCCTGTCCCTGACCCCAGAGGTGGAAAATGCACCCCAGGGGCCTCTCCCACTGGCCAGGAACCAGGTGGCTGGAGTTCTAGGCGGTGTGAGTCCCGTGGCCCAAGGTCATCCTCCACTTACCACTCTGTGACAGGTGACTTCTCTGCTTCACGAGGTGATGTGAAGATCAAATCAGGCAAATGGGAGCACATTTTGGAGCACCCAGGCTAGGAATGCTGTTGTCTTCATCGGAAGGAGGATTTGAAGGCCAGCTGCAGTTTGTTTCGTGCTCTCCAAGTCACACAGATCAAAAATGTTTCTAGTTAGATCACAGGGAACGTTTCCAACTTAGTTACAATCACCAGGGAATGGAGGAACCGACCAACAAGCAAAGGTCAGAGTTCCTTTCACGGCAAACACATTCTGTTCCCTTTATTTGTCCTCTGCAGGGGACAGGGCAGTGTGCTTACACTTTGAGCTTCTAGGGAAGGGTCCGTTCCCCTCTGTGTTCTGCCGGCAAGAGAAAAACTTCCCAAGGCAGCCTAGAAGAATAGCAGTCCTTTTTTCTTCTACCTTCTTGTCTTTTTTTTTTTTTTTTAAATAAACCTTCCATGGAGAGATAGTGTTGGGATGTTTTCCTGAATATTCACACCGACAGTCGTTTCTGACTTCGCTGTAACTAACATCTGCAGCTGATCACGCCCACGGAGTGGGAACCGTGGCCCAGATCCCTGAGTCTCATGTACAAAGACACACGGATGCTCATGTCAGTCTCACCATTAGGTTTTGCCGTTAATGACTCTCTCCGTGGGACAGATCCCTCATGGTGAGGGGAAGTGCCGTCAGGAGCGACCTGCTTGCTCTGAGGAACCAGGAGTTTCCTTCTCCAGTGTGGCCAGCAGCCAGGCCCTCTTCCCACGCCGGGGCCAGCCCTCCCGCAGCAGGTGTCCAGGCTCCAGGAAGGCCGTCTCTTCCTCACCGACATGGAAGGGCCGTGGCCTCGTGTGCTTTCACTCTTTTTCCATTTCCCCGCGGCCCGAATCACACTCATGGAGGTAACTCCCTGTCCTGGGATGTCTCCCGAGGACACTCCAGCATTGGGACATCAGGTCATCCCAGGCTCTTCCTTTCTTTGTTTTATTTATTTGGACCTGGGGGAGCCCGTTGGTTTCTCAGGGGGCTTCTGCTCATACGTGAATGATCCCACTCACGGGTCACTGATTTTATAATTTTCCACCAATTTCCAGGTGCTTCACGAAGATGCGCAGAGTCTTCTGGGAGCCGGTGCAGTTGCTCGCACACGGCGTTCCTGTTGAGCACATTCCTGGCCATGGAGAAGTGGGTTTCCCGAGGGTTGAAGGGTGTTAGGGCTAAACTTTAGCTCAGGCTGATTGCATTGCTAGCAGTAGTTGTAGACAGAACCAGACAAGGTGAAGACACATGTGCTCAGGCCTAGAAACGAAAGCCTGGCTTGTGTTTAATTTTAACTCCTATGGCTGGAAATGTGAAAATGTGTTAACTCCTGGCTCATTCCTCCTGAAGTGGGCATAGGCTGATTGAAGATGGAACTCGAGTCCCAAGGACAGAGGGCGTCTGCAGCTGCAGGGGCACCTGCTCAGGCCTGTCCCACCCTGTTCCTCCAGATACCACAGCAGCACATACCTAGTGACCCAGTCCACCCAGAACACATGGCACTACCTCCTTTCCCCAGTTCACAGCCCTAAATGTCTCCTGGCTTCAGGGAATCTCCAGCAGTAAAAGGTGCGAACAGACCTCTGGCGATCGCAGGATGGAGACTGTGCCGTCTGAACTGAGAAAACCTGAGCATCAGGCCAGCTGAGCTCTGACGAGAAACGCGTCCTCCTGAGAAATCACACGCAGAAACCTCAGTGCTGTGGACAAACACGTACACGCTTGCACAGGGCTCCCGTGCTTCTCACTCTGCAGGCTGCCCTGTGAGACCAACATTCCTGTGAACCTCTGGCATCTAGAAGCTCAGACAAATCCAAACTAACCCCATGGAACGCTGGGCACCTCCTGCCTTCAGTGAATGGCAACACAGGAACAGTACTGTCT